CATCTATTCCCAGCCTGTTATCGCTTTCTTCTCCGTCGCCGCCAACTCTCATTCGCTTTCCTCAATCGGCCATCGCTTAAATCTATCCACCTCTCGTCTATCTCCCTTTTCCTTTATTTAGTCTCCCTTCGGTCTTCGCCCTCACGCAACCCGTCCCCATTTCGACACATCTCTACCCACACTTCCTTCTTTCCTCCCTTCCTTTCCACTTCTCTCCCTCTCCTCTACCTTCTCCCTATCTTTCCGTCTTATCTTCCTCCAACCTCAACCTACCCTAACCCTAACCCACCCTCTCCCTTAACGCCACCCTCCCTCAAACCTCAGCCCACCCTTCCCCCAACCTCAGCGCACCACCCCAAACACCGCCCCCACCCTCCCCTCTCTAACCTCAACCCACGTCCCTCCCCACCACCCGGCCAGCCTAGATCCTTCACCCCCCCCCACACCACCCCCAGCCCATAAGTAAGAAGCGTCATAAAGTTGTCATGTCCTTCCCCGGCTTGGAGTGTCGACGTAAGTGCCACCGCAGGCATGCCAGGTCCTCCTCCTCCTCCTCCTCCTCCTCCTCCTCCTCCTCCTCCTCCTCCTCTTCCTCTTCCTCTTCCTCTTCCTCTTCCTCTTCCTCTTCCTCTTCCTCTTCCTCTTCCTCTTCCTCTTCCTCTTCCTCTTCCTCCTCCTCCTCCTCCTCCTCCTCCTCCTCCTCCTCCTCCTCCTCCTCCGCCTCCGATGCCAATGACCGATCGCCCTTCTCTCTCGCGTCTTAATCACATTCACTGTGTGCGAAAAATATACGAAAGAAGATCGAATAGAGACACGCAGACCTACGAAAAAAATACTAAATGAAACGCTCTTTTTTTCTCTCTCTCTCGGAATTAAAATTCTAGAACCGAACAAACGAAATCAGCTGAACGTCCCAAGTGTCCAAAACAAACGCAACGAACAACAACAGCTGCACTTTCCTTTTATCAGATTCCATTTTCTCCCCCCGCCCCCCCTTTCTTTCGCTGTTACCGGAAATCAGCGCAAATCTGGCCGGGCGGACCGTTCTCCTCGGAGAAGGTGTACTTCACCGCCACAAACTCTCAAGGTCACCCTGAGGTCAGCCTTCACCCACAGCCTGTCAACCCTGATACTTGAGTTACCGTGTATGTGTGTGTGAGTCTGTGTGAGAGAGAATGTGTGTGTGTGTGTGTGTGTGTGTGTGTGTGTGTGTGTGTGTGTGTGTGTGTGTGTGTGTGTGTGTGTGTGTGTGTGTGTGTGTGTGTGTGTGTGTGTGTGTGTGTGTGTGTGTGTGTGTGTGTGTGTGTGTGTGTGTGTGTGTGTAAACATATGTAAGAGAATTAAACCCTTCCCATACACATAACTGCCACCACGTATGCACATACTTACACACACGCACACAGTCATACACACGCACATACTCATACACACACACACAAACAAGCATCCCCCCCACCCCAACCCCCACCCACGCACACACGGTCGCGAGATTTCCCATCGCGGTGACAACTCCATAAAGCACGGTTTTTAAAACGAGCAGCCGAAACGTTCCTGGCGAATCCTCCGGCCTTTGCAAGCTGCACGATTCGCGGGATTGCATCGCGCTGTACTTCATGCTTTCCCGTTACGCCGCGCCTCGCCAATGGGGTTTTATGTCCAGGAGGCGATAAAGAAGGCGATTCCTGGCGGCCGAGAATGTGCACGACACCGACAGATTTATGATAAAAGGATCATGAAAGAATATTCCCCCTCCCCCACCCCCCCACTCCGCCTTGGTACATGTAAAAACGCATACCCCATATCCTAATAAAGAAAATGCATACCCATAAAAAAAAGCTCATCGCACATGCACGCAACTCTCGCTCACACTCTGATCATTCTAAATATCTTTCACACTATCGCGCCTAACCTCCACTCTGCACACTTATCACATTACGCCTTGTTCATCATCTATTAGCTTCTATTTTCTCATTCACGCAACTTCTCTTGCTCTAAATTCTCCTCCATCAATTCTGTAACCTTCACTCTTTCGCCGAACCTCAACTTTTTTTCTTGTTCTGCGATTTTCTTCTTCGCTAAACCCATTTTTTTTCCATTTTTTTCTTGTCCCCTTTCGGCCTTCTTTTATTTTGTTTTATTTTTCTCTACTTTCTATCCCTTTCCATCTCTTTCCCCTTTTTCTTATCTCCTCCTCGCCCCCTTTCATTTCTCTTCTTGCTCTCTCTCCTCCTTTCACTTATCTTCTCTCCACTCCCTCCATTCCTCTTCTCTTTTCTCTCTCTCTCTCTCTCTCTCCATTTCTTATCTTCTCCCCATTTCCATTCATTCTTCTTGCCTCTCCTCCTTTCTCGTATCTTCTCCCCATCCCCTTTAATTTCTTTTCTCTCCAATCTTTCCCTTTCCCTTTCCCTTTCCCTCCTCTCCCCGTTCCTTCCTTCCCATCCTCCCTCCTTCCCTCTCTCCCTCTCCCTTCCTTCCTATCCTTAATTCTCCCCCTCCCTTCCTTCCTTCCTATCCTTCCTCCCCCCTTCCTTCCTTCCTTCCTCTCCTTAATCCCCCCTCCCTTCCTTCCTTACTCCCCCCTTCCCCACCCTCCTTACCTTCTTCGGCCGCTTCGCACACCCTCACCTCCACCTACACTAGCGGGTCTTCCGTGTGCTTGTGTGCGTGCCTTTGTTCCCGACCTTAATGCTTGAAGCCAGTTCTTCATAAGCTTCTCGGAGACTATGACCGTCCCCTCTCTTCTCTCTTTTCTCTTTTTTTTCCAGATATCAATTCAATCCTTCTTTTTCACTTTCGTATATTCACGTATACTGAGTCCTCATTGCATTCTTTTCTTGTACTTGTTTTTACAAACACAAAGACTATCATTTATTCACACTTACACTAATACCCCACACTTGCCCTCGCGCTTACACTGCCGTACCCTTTCCTGGTCGACATTTTCTCTTCGTTATGACACTGATCTGTTCTCACGCCTTCGTCCCTTCTCTTCTTAGGTCATACTCATCAAAGGCTGGTAAACTTATTACCGGTTCCTCAACCTTCACGAGACCTTCAACTATTCACCTTAGCTCATTCCCTCGCTTCTTTTCACTGCTGTATCCCCGCACCGCACCCCAGTAAACAGCGAGACACACTGACACACACACTCACTCGCACTCACGAAATACCTATACAGTCCCACGGCGGTCCCTCTACTGTGCTGGTTGCCCGGCGCCGTCCTTTAAGGTCGGTGAAGCCATAAGTCAAGCCGGGAAAACAGCCCGTGTTTACGTGCATTCCCGCTTCCGGTCCCTCGCCACCTCTTGACCCACCAAACAACCTTTCACACGCCCGGCCCACGCACATACACACGCACACGA